CAGGGAAGAATTGAGCAAAATAATAATTTAGAAAAAGGACAGAGGCCAAAACCACTATTCTCTTCTTATAGAGCCCATCCTAGGAATTCCACACATGCTAGATCTTAGAAGGTCTCCAGTCCTGGCTCCCACAGCTCCCAGCTGAAGCTGATCCATAAGGAGGAGCCGGAGCCGCACTACAGGGGGAGGACACCCAGAAGCTGGGTGCTCCATAGCCCTGGGCTGTCACCCCTCTCAGACACAATCACCCCTAGATAGCGAAGGACCAGGTGCCAGCGTGTCACCATATACATGCATCAGGGACAGTGCCGTGAAGGGTAGGACCTTGGGCATCTTCCCTGAGACCTGGTGCCCCATTTGAGCATTTGATGGAGGTGGCATGTAGGGAGGACAGACAAACTGATTCTGTTCCATCCATGGCCAGCATGACCATAGTTGCCACTCTGGAGAAATTTTCTGAGATCCAGTGGCTCCTTTCTTCTTAAGGTGTCCAGAGCAAGTATAAATTTCCATTAAAAATGCAAGCAGACAAAAAGGAAAAACCATTGATTTTTACTGTGAACCTCCATTCTGCTGGGGTGGTGGAAGCTCAACCTTCCAGTTTGGGGTTCTCACCCTCTCCTGGGGTGTATGGCTATGTCCCAGAGCACTTGGGTACTGCCAAGACTTTAGAGAAGGTCCCCAGTCACCACAGGTGTCCCTGAGGTATCTATCATCTGTGTGTCCACATCCTTTAATTCACATATGTCCCCACTGAAAAGACCCTTGTCTCTTCAGGGCCATCTGCCATCCTGACCACCTCTAAGTCAGGCCTAAGAACCCAGGAGTCATTCAGGTGCTTCAGTGTCCTGTAGGGGCGCTTACTGTGGCCCTGGCTACCTGGACCCATCATACAGATGTCCCCTCTGGACACTCACCCAGGATGTGGGGTACAGCTACCTCTTGGGGACACACCAACACCCTGCTGTCTCCATTTTCCCTCTCTCACTCTTCACCTCCTCCCCCACCTCCCAACTAACTACCTGCAGGGAGAAAGCCCTCCCTCTATAAATAGTGCTGGTTTCCAAGGTGTCTAACACTAGCACCAGGTATTTTGCCTTCACCCTGTCACACTCCTCCTCTGAGGCCATGAGCCCAGGCCTCACTGTCTTCCAAGAGAAGGGAAGGGAGAAAAGAGGAAAACATTTGAAAAAAAATTAGTTATAATTTCCAAAACATTATTTTTTCACAGTCTTCTCCCTAATAAGTTTTGAGTCCCTGCAGAGAAGGGGAAAACAGGGCTCTGCCCAGACTGAGTCTCTCTGGTCAGTGGCTGTCCCACTCACACTGCCTGGCTCTTCAGTGAGACTTTCCTGGGACTTTTTGGGACAGAAAGAGGAGCCTGGACACTGGGCAGAATTCTGTCCTCCTTCCCCAGCTGGGTGCCTGCCCCTCCTCTCCTCCCTTGCTCCCTCCAGCCTTACTGAGGGTTCACATTCCTCCCCAAGTCAGTCTCTGCACTGGCCCCGCCCCCTGGCCATTTGCTGGATACTGGGGACCTTTGGTTTCAGCCACTCAGCTAGAGGTGCCCCCACTTGATGGCATGTGACACCTGCTGTCTCCAGGCAGAGGGTCGGTTCTTTTAGAAATTCCCAGTCTGGCATGGAGGGCTTAAAAATTATCCTCTATGCCCTTCTCTTTCTAGATATTTTCCTGGTGATCAGGAACTAATCTGGTCCACAGCCTCTAACACACTCCGTCCTGCTGATGGCCCTGGATCTGCTGGTGGCATTTACAGTGTTCTATAACCAGTGCACCTTCCAGGATTGCGCTTAGTAGGGGAGATAGAGGCGGAAACTGCCTCTTCAGTACCCAGTGATGAATGTGAAGCAGGCACACGCCATCATTGCACTTTGCACTGACCGCATGACGGTTTCCTTACTCCGACAGCACGGAATTTCCATGGGGAAACACATATGCTGACTCATCCACCCAGGATACTGTCTTGTAGCTGTGGGAGTGACCATTTCCTTCCACATCTTCCTTCCTCCCCTCCTCCTTTCCTGGGGAAAACTGCCCCTCCCGCATCCTATGTGCTCCCTAGAGAGCTGCCTTCCCAGGAACCCACGGCCACCCCCAATGCCCGGTGGCCGCCTGCTGGGGTGCACACATGCCCCAGGCTGGGCCAATCAGATCCTGTCTCCTTAGAATTTGACTTTGAGTGATGGCACAAGGAAGAGTAGGCAGGTGGAGCCAAGTCACCTGAAAGTAATATCCTAAAAGAGAAAGCCCACAGATTCCTGCCCCTGTGAGCTTTAGAGCCACCATTTCCATCCTTCCCAACGTCTGGGAATGTCAACTCATTCTGTTGTGAGTAGGACGCGAGTGTCTCCAGAGAGCATAGCAATTCAGCCACTTGGAGCCATCAACCTGTTCCAAGGCTACTTGGCTGGCTTAAACTAGCCCCTGACAGACCCTAGCAGCCTGTAGATGAGCTCAAGTGAATTTCCTCATTACTACGGTAAAGCCCCACCATGGGAGGAGCCAGAGCTTCATTACCATGACATGAGACCCATGTGCTAGCATGACCATGACGGACTAACCACGCATGCATAAGGGAGACTATGCCCCTACCCAACGACACATCTTTTTCTTTCTCTGCTACCCCATAAAAACCCCTGTGCCACCTTCCCTGGGGAGACACTGCTTTGGAGAAGTTCACCAGTGCTATCCTCACTCACTGCAAATGATTGGAACTCCTACTGCCTAAGACCTGCGTTCTGGTGGAGAGTCATGTGTTACTCACCAGGCGAATGAGCCCTGATCTTTTGGGTAACCCTATGAGCGCCCAGTGTTTTCCAAATACATGCCACTTTTTGCTTAAGCTGGTCAGAGTCAGTCTCTGTGGCCTGTAACTAGGGGACCCTTGCTCGTATCCTCTGGTTTCCACCTATCGGGTGCCCTCTGGTTTCCAATTTCTCTGATGGCCAAGTAGCAGCAGGGTGAGTCACGGGTTGCCAAGAAATCCTCTAGGATACTGGCCTGTAGGTGTGTGGGAAACGACTGACACAGGCAGGCTGCAGGCTGGTGCTCAGGCCCTGGGGGAACAACTTACCTTCGGGGTGATGGAGTCTGTTAGTCCAGGGCTTCTCAAGCCTGGCATGTCTCTGCGTGCGAATCCATTCTGACTTTCCCAGTCTCTGCTCTGTCCAGCTTACTGTCTACTCAGAGGCCCGGTGTACCAGCGTGGGGCCCTTAAGTACAACTATACAGGAAGAGCTAGAATCCTGAAGACACCAAAGCTGGCTGCAAGACCTGCTTCTACTGAGAAGGAGCAGCTTGGAGCAGTAGTGAAATTTTGGCAACCTGTTTTCCAACTTTGGAATCTGCGTGATTATATTACAGTAGGGATTTTCAACCCTAGATACGCATTAAAATAATCTGGGATTTAAAAAGAAAGTTGATGCTATGTGTATGGGGCCAATGAAGTCAGAACCTCTGGGGGGTAAAGCAACATGCAGCCAGGACTGAGAATCGCTACGTTAGAGCTTCCCACCAATTGAACACGTGCGAGCTCTGATTCCATAGAATTTGCAGGAAAAGGCGTGGGCTGTGTCCTGGCCCCTGGGAGAAATTTGCTGGCTCCCATCTCTGACTTTCTCTTTTCAATGTGCTTGCTCTTGCTTGGGGTCCGCTGCTGCTGTCCTGAACCTTTGCTTCTGATTTCTGCCTTTTCTAAATGAAGCTCTGCTAAGGTGGTTTGGCTGACTTACTGGTCAGCTGGTTTCAGACCTTGGTTCCATATGTGGTTCCCCAGGTCATCTTCATCCCTTCCAGGTGTCTGTGCCAGGCTCCTAGGACCCCACGTGGATATTATTCCCTGAACCCTGCTTGTCCACCAGAAGAATTTGGAAATTTGAGACGTGGACAAGCTGAAGGGTTACCAGAAGCGGTGAGTTACGTAAGAGCAGAGGCAGAAGATTATAAACAGCAAATTGCCTATTATGACATTTCCTGCGAGGCAACCCTGGAGCAGAGTGTACGTTCTGTAAGATGGAACTCAAAGGAGAGTTTGTAGTACATTTAGTCCTGGAAGAGAAAAGCAAAGCTGGTATGGATCGGAGAGGCTGTGGACTGAGACTGCTGGGGTTCGAATCTCAGCTCCCGCATTTGCTATGACCCTTGGTGTAACCCATCAACGCCTGAACTTCCTAACCCGTACGATAAGGATGCCAATGCTAGGTTTATCGTGAGATGAAACGAGATAATGCGCACAAAGGCAGAGTACGTAGTTAGGTATTCAGTAAGGGTCAACTACTTAGTGGCTTTTGACTCACTCCTGAACTTGGCTTCTCTGCCATAGCGCAAGCCAGGTCTGTCTCCTCCCCCTTCAGACACCTCATTGTCATGTTAGTCCGGGCTTCCTTTTGGGCCACCTCCCACTGACTTTCCTGGGGGTCCCACCATGCGTTTCCTGAACCCCGGGAGCCAGTGCCACCCATTCCACTACGCTCTGCGCCAGAGCTGGCACCTCGCTTACTGTGGATGTCAAGGGGCGGGTTTATCAAGAGTTCCTTTTTTTTTTTTTAAGTAAAAGGCGAAAGATTTATTTGTTTTGAAGAGTATCAAGAGTTCCTGTGCAGAGTAACAGCAGAGCCGCACCTTCCTGGACCTCTCTCTTTAAAGCGCGGGTTATTAGATGTTTCTGAGTCTTAAGGAGACAAGCACAGAGGGTTGGAAGCATTTTTCCCCCAAGCTCTCACCTGAGCCCAGGAGGCCTTTGCCCCACCCATGAGGCTCAGCAGCCGCTCCCAGGACAAAGAGTGATACCCCTGTCCCTCCTTGACCGTGTCACTAACCACTAACGCAGCTCAGGGGCCGGGCTGGCCAGGCAGTTTTGCAATCGTTTCCATTTGGGCTCAACCAGTCACCAGGAATCAGCTTAGAAAACTGAAATTCCTCTATGTTCAGCCCAGAGCCTCGCCCTCACCCCCCCCCTCATTTTCTGTTGGCTGGAACCCGGGTTTCGTTTCCAGAAAGTGCTCTAATGCCACACCCGGACAGGCTGCACTCTGATTCGTTTCCTTGGTGCCGAGGGGGATCTTTAACGTCTCTGCAGTTACCAAAACTTACCCACTTAGGCAACAGTTGCCACCACTGAGTGCACGTTGGTCCCCTGCGGGACAGCGCCGGAGTGGGGTCCCTTACGGACACGGGGAGTGGGACCCGGAGGCCCCTCCCGCCCTCCCGGGCTGCCCCGGCAGGCCCCGCCCTCGGTGCCTTTTGCACCGGGTCGGATGGTGAGAAGTTAACTTTCCTCTCCCGGAGCAGCTTCACTTCATCTTTGGCGTTCCCTGTCCTGCTTCCCCGGGACCCCAGGGTCCATGAACTCTGCCGCCACCAGCCGCGCGCTCCCCGGCCGCTCGGTGAGTGCTGCGGGGAGACAGGGCGAGAAGGCGGGCGGGAGGCAGAGGGGGCGTGGGGGGTCCCAGCTGGGGTCCCGCTGCCCTGGTGGCCCCTTAGCGCCAAGGCAGCCCGCATGCTTTAGATCGGCGTCCAGATTCTCACACTGAGGAGGCAGCTCCCTCCCCACCTGTCCCCTCGGGTCACCAACACGACAGACGGAATGTGCCCTGAGCAGTCACCTAGGAATAAATGACAATGGAACGGAAGAGTTGGAAGGCTGGTTGTTCTGAGAGCTCCGGTGGGGAGACGATCCTGTTTGCTTCATCTTGACTTAGGAGTTGGTCTCTGCTGAATCAGGAAGGCAAATATTTGTCTTCCGGTTTCCCAGCATTGAGATTTCTCTTGCCAGAAGCCCTTTCTGAAAGGAAGCAAAGGGAGAGAGAGAGAGAGAGAGAGAGAGAGAGAGAGAGAGAAGTAGAGAGAGAGAAGTGACTTTGGCTAGACAACCAGCATGCTCTGGGTTTTTTTGAAGTTTATTTTGCTCCTCACAAGCCAATGAAACAGGCACTTCTGTTCCCATTTTACAGATGAGGAAACTGAGGCCCCCGGGGAAGTAAAGTCACAGTAACCCATCCGGAGGTCTCTCTAGCTAGACCTTCAGCCCTGGCCCCAGCACCCTCTCCAGCCTACTTTGGCCACATAAAAACAACAGGGGGTACTGAATGGCACCCTCTGTTCTTGCTACTACCCACTGCAGGGGTAAAAGGTCCCTTGCATTTAGGCCCAGCCCCGGTGTCTGGGGACTGAGGCTGCCCACGACCCGACTGGGCTCTCCGGGGGTTCCCTGGACCCGGGTTGCCCGCTCCAGCTCTGCCTGCTTCTGCTCAGCCTGCGGGCACCGTCCCAGCAGTCCCTCTGAGAGCATGGGAGGGACCAGAGGGGAACTCACTCGCCTCACCTCCTCTCAGAATTCTTTCTGCCAATCCACGTCACAGCACCAGAAAACAACAACAACAAACAAACAAACAGAATTCTTTCTGCCACCACCGCTTAGAAACCAAAAAAAAAAAAAATCTTGGGAAATAAATTGAGACCCCGGAGTGTGATAGGTGTTCTGTCAGAGGTGGGGCAGCCACACCAGAGTGCCCTGGCCTGATCACCCCTGTGGAGCCCTCGCTCTTCCAAGTGGAAACAGCCACAGCAGCCTCAGCAGCAGTGGGTGGGGACGGAGAGGAGGAGGAGAATGCCCCAAATTGTGGGGAGCTGGTGCCCTGGTCCCCTTTGTCCTAAGGGACCCTCTAGCATGCTGCATTCTCTTCTCAGCTGGAAGCAGCCCACCCAAAAGCCCAAGCTGCAGTCACAGTTTACCTTTTGAATATTTTTTTTTTTTATGGAGGAAGGAGCCCCTAGAGTCACAGTGCTTAAAAAGTGCCCATGGGTGTCGTAATGCTGCCCTGATCCGGAAATGTTCTCTGAAGCTGGGCTGAAGTAAAGGATACTTAGGCGTGGAGGTGGGTGTTAGAGTGGTGACTTCAACATCTTTTCCAGAACTGTCTCTGTGAGAAGGCCAGAATACTCTCAGGGCTGTGCCAGAGTATAGACCCTGCCCTCTGTTGTCTGGCCAGGCCCAGGACTGCACTGGGCACATCACAAAGAGTGGCCTCATCTTCATATCGGTGGATGCTCATATTGGAGAGTGGATCTTCATATTGGAGATGATGCTGCCATGTTTTTCTCACCGATGACCAGGTGCACAAATGTCAGCCATAAGCATATGTTTAAAGCCCTTTGAAAACGTGGAAATAGGAAAGCTTATAGTAACTATAAGAGCTAACATATACTGGACAATGACCCTGTGCCAGGCACTGAATTGTGTGCTTCATGCTCCAATTTAATTTTCTCAACCATCGATGAGGTAGGTGCTATTGATGTTTCCTTTATATAGATTAGTAAGTTGAGATTTGGAAATATTAGGGATGTGTATATTGGAGGGAAAGTCTACAATTGAAAGTTAATTTTGGAGGCCAGGCGCAGTGGCTCACGCCTGTAATCCTAGCACTCTGGGAGGCCGAGGCGGGTGGATTGCTCAAGGTCAGGAGTTCCAGACCAGCCTGAGCAAGAGTGAGACCCCGTCTCTCCTAAAAATAGAAAGAAATTAATTGGCCAACTAAAAAATACATGGAAAAAATTAGCCGGGCATGGTGGCACATGCCTGTAGTCCCAGCTACTCAGGAGGCTGAGGCAGAAGGATCACTCGAGCCCAGGAGTTTGAGGTTGCTGTGATCTAGGCTGACGCCATGGCACTCACTCTAGCCTGGGCAACAGAGTGAGACTCTGTCTCAAAAAAAACCCACAAAAACACAAAGAAAGTTAATTTTGGTTAAACTGGGAGGAATGCAAGGGACCATTGACCCTAGAGCATTCTGTGTGCACTGCACTCATTTACATTATCCTGTTACATTCATTCACTCACCCATTTATTCAGTCTACACCGAGCACACAGGCTGCTCTAGAAGCCAGGATGAGTAAGAAGAGTAAGGCACAATCCCTGCATCCTGGGAGCTGACAACCCAGCAGACAAGATGGATTAGGAAACTGTCCGTTATTATAAACATGCTGTGAGGAGGCCCTTGGCAGATGGAAATACAGGTCCGTGTGAGAAGCCTACCCATTTTCTGACTTTCGGGTTGGCCCCCATCTGCTCCCCAACAATGCTGCTTCTCTGCCAAGGCTCCGGGCAAGTCACCCACACCCTTCGCATGGCCCTAGACTTCGCCTGGAGGCCCTGCTGCAGATCATAACAGAGGAAATCACTGGTCTTTTGAGTCTGGACCTGAATCCCCAGCTGGCCAACAAATATCCCAACCCCCTGTCCCTTGCCTCTGGAAGGCTGTCCGTCTGTCCAGTTGAAATTAGGAAATCCACTTGATTCCTCTTGAAATGCCCAGCAGTGTCTTCTGTTCCCAGCAGGGGGCTGATGGCGTGCTCAGCTCCCACGCTGATGGCCAAGACGAGAAGAAGGATGGGCAGCCCGAGAGTTCCAGCAGCAGCCTGACCTATGGCGTCTTGGATGTCCCTCCGTGGTATCTCTGCATCTTCTTGGGGATCCAGGTAATGCCTCCCAGCAAGCGCGGGTCCCCAGAGGCTCTGCCTCGAAAGCCACCTCAACACACAGCCAGGTCAGATTAGTCAACACCAACAACGTCAGCGGCTGCAGTGTTGTCTTCCATGGTGTTGCCCCTCCAGGGAACTCAAAGCTCCTCCAGTCTCTCCCCAGGGGATTGGGGATAGGGGCAGAGAATTAGAGGAGGGGCTTTCCCTCATGTTGAGCTGACTGGTCAAATCAAGGACACCGATGGGGCCATTGTTCTCTCAGGCTGGGTCGCTGGGCTGTTTAAAGGTCCAGTTCACTTGGGTGAGGCCAAGAAGGTACCGGCCACCTCCGTTTCCTCAGGGCAAGCCCTGGCAGCTCTGTAGCTGCTCTTCCTGATTCAGCTTCCACCAAAATGCCTGGCGTTCTGTACGGTCAAGAGATTTATTTGATAATGAGCAGGAGTCAGCCCTGTCTGGTATGTTTGGTTATCCAAACTTAATGTATCATGCTGGGCATGATATGAGATGGAAAATAAAACACTGGGTGGATTCTTGGCCTGGAGAATATTGTGGCCTGTATGGAACTAGCTGGTGGCAGGTAGAAGAAGCATTTATTAGAAGGACTGTCGGAACAATGGCAAGGGTCATCCAAGTGCCCCTACGATACACAGGCATTTCCTCTCTGAAAACCCTCCCATATCATCTTCCCCAAGGGGCAGCCAACCCCTAAGTGACCACAGTTTGTCTGTTGAACCTGCTGGGTTAAGCAAAGAACAACATGTGAGGGACTTTGTCTCTTAGTGAGAGTTCAAGGTCTCCCCTGCCCCCTACACCCATCCCAGCCCCCCTTACCCCACTGCCAAAGAGCAGAGCTGATCACATGGGCAGATTATTCCAGGACGTTCACTGAGGGGATTAACCATGAGTGGTTGAATGGTCCCTTTGAGACACTGCTCCACGTGGTCACAGGAGCTGCTACCGCCCCCTTAAAGAAGACCTGGCCATTCCTCTCTCTTGCTTTTCTGCAATTTTCACTCTTATGGCTGGAGAGACGTGGGGCTGTCCCTCCCAGGTGTACTGGCCCAAGTGTCTTCCAGCGGCCCAGGCCTGTGGGCAAGACTCTCTCTTGCTCTCTTTTTCTGGCATGGGGATGGGGTGTGATCCTCTGTCCTACTGGGATATACATTTTGAGATTCAGCTTTGCCTGGGGGTGGGCAGGGGTTGGAAAAGCAAGCCTGTGCAGTGCATGGATACTTTTTTTAGGTTTAATTTTCTTAAGAAAAAATCACCCTTTTCAGTGTTTAATTTTGCTCACACTGGGATTTGGGATCAAAGTCCCAACTAGATAAGGGCATAATTTGCCTTGCTTTGCTTGCTCAATGTTGTGGGCAGAGGCAGGATCAGGTATTCTGGGTCTTGTGGCCGAATTCCATCATAATGGCCCCTAATGGTGATTCTTCTCTGAGCAACCCCTTATGGCCAGCAAGTTTTTTGTTTTCTTTCTTCTTTCTTTCCCTTCCTCCTAGCCTCCCTCTCCCAACAACCCCCCACCAAATTCTTTCATTTTTTTATTGTCTTTGTGGACCGAGCAGCTAACTTTTGTGAAACAAGGCAAAGTAAGCCTGCCTGTCCCGGCTTGATTTACGCCATATTTGTACAGGATCAGGTGGAGAAACTGTACGGTAGCCGGCAACGGCGCATTTGCCGCTCCTGATGGTGATGTTAGAATCAGAGTGATTCTATCCGCACCAGAAACTCGAGGCCCTGTGGAAACACTGGCAGAGGCATGACCCGAGGTGTCAGAGAACAGGTTGGATTGGAGCAAAGGAGAGAAGCAGGTGGCTTCACGCATCTTTGTTCTCAGAATGTTTGGCTCAGTGGCCAGATTTGCATGAGGACTGGAGCCACATACTGGCCAGTAGGGTTAGCTCAGACAAAACTGGCCACAGCCCATGAATATCCTCCAGACCCGGCCAGCCTTTCAGCTCTGGGGCTAGAGTGTGTGATATGGTAGCCCATTCCTGTATTCATTACTTGCTCCTGTATTGATTGATCAATCAATCTATCTGTGATCTATATCAAATTTATCCCCTTTGTAGCCAAGGCTGCCTGCCAGGATTCAGCCCTGCCCTGAACTCGGGGTCTAATTCTTTCCTGTCCAGGGAAACTCAAACAGCTTTTGGCCAATCGCTCCAAGCTGGTGCTCAGGCCTTCCTTGTCAGTGGTCCGCTCTCAGAGAGTGCCTCGTTTGATGACAAGCCTCCTGCCTTGTTCTTTCTCTTAAAGCTCCACCTTGGGTCCTGTTATACCTTCCTGTGCTTGTGTCCCTAGCTTGGTTTCTTCCCCAGAACATCAGTTTCCGGCACCAGGGCCCCCCCCTCGAGATCAGGCTTTCTGTCTGGGTCCCTACTTGTCACTGCCAGGCCTTCCTAGTCCCCCTGCCTGCCTGGGTCTCTGCCTGGGTCTCTGTCGCTCATGGTCAGGTGCTTCCGAGGGCAGAGACAGAACTCTCGCCCCTGCCGGTGGGATGTGCCCTGCTAAGGTTGGGTTCACTCTCGGTTGTGCAGCCGCAGTGTCACACCCGGCCACTCTTGCTCTCTGCCCACAGCACTTCCTCACCGCCCTGGGGGGAATCGTGGCGGTGCCGCTGATCCTGGCCAAGGACCTATGCCTGCAAAACGACCCCCTGACCCAGAGCTACCTCATCAGCACCATCTTCTTCGTCTCTGGCATATGCACTCTCCTGCAAGTGTGTTTAGGGGTCAGGTAGGTAAAACTTCTCCCCGTGGGTTCTGACTGTCACCTGCCAGGGTGTCAGCAGGGCTTGCTTGGCTGGCAGCGGGAGAGATGGTTAGGAAGCTGGGGTGGCGTGATCGAGAGAGCACAGGGACAGGAGTCAGAGCCTGGGTTCAAGTGCCAGCTCCATTACTTATTATCTACCTTAGCTAGGATTCTTGATGGAAAGTGGCGCAAATCCAGATTAGCTTAAGCAAAAATGTATTCTTTATTAATTTATAAGATCAAACCAAGAGAAAGGTAGGACTGTGTCCATGCCTCGGGAGCATGATGAACCAGGGCTCCAGCGCTTCTGGGACTCTCTCCAGCTCTGCTCTCCACTCAGCCTGCCCCTGATATTCACGACCCTTGGCAAGAGTGCAAATAGAGACCCACCTGCTCCACCTCTAAACATTAGAAAGTGATAGACCAAGCTGACAGACCAAGCTGACATAAAACAAGTCCTCATCATCCTACCCAAAAGGCCAAGTGTGAATTTAGAATTCTCTGCCCACCCCCCCAGTTCTGCTTTGGAATGCGGCACCCCTGGGGAAGGCCAGCCCCAGCCTGCGGCCTCTTCCCTTCGCTCCTCACTTTAAGCTTTGCTCCCAATCACAAATGGTCTCACACGAGTGGATGTGGACACCCCAGCCTGCACATCCAAGTTCCATTTCCCACCCCTATGGCAATGTACTCCCCACACAGCTGCCCCACGCTGCTGGCCCGTTGCCATCCTTCAGGCCTGGGGTGTGCACACGCCTGCTCATTGTCTGCCCTCAGCAGGGTGGACCTGCACAAGATGCCCAAGTAGGCTCTGGAAGAAACTCAGGGCCATTTGGGCAGAGAATTTTAAAGACTCAAAGGGGAGGGGGACATAGACTTCAGGTGAACACATCCCCTTGGCCCTGCAGACCCCTCCCCGAGGAGCCAGAGTGGACCCTCTAAGGCACAGGGCTAAGCACAGGGGGCTCTCTTCTCCTGGTTGTAGGGCGGGACCGTCTCTTCATTACTTGGCCAGTGTAGACAGGCTTCCAGCATGTGTGTATTAGTCAATGTTCTCCAGAGAAGCAGAACCAATAGGATATATAGAAACATAAATGTAAGAGGAGATTTATTTTTAATTTTTAATTTGAGCCTGGTAGAGCTGCAGATTTCCCCCTCCATTCCCAGAGTTTGTGTTCTAGTAGTTTTGGGAGCTTGCTGGGTATGTTTTATTTTATTTATTTATTTTATTTCAGCATATTATGAGGGTACAAGTGTTAAGGTTACATATATTGCCCATGCCCCCCCTCCCTCTTGAGTAAGAGCTTCAAGCGTGTCCATCCCCCAAATGTTGCACATGTAAGAGGAGATTTATGATAGGACTTAGCTCACATGGTTATGGAGGCCAAGAAGTCCCATGATCTGCTGCCTGCAAGTTGGAGAAGCAGGAGAGCTGGTGGTGTAATTCAGATTGAGGCCAAAGGCCTGGATATAAGGTGGAGTGGGGGCTGGGAGGCCAATGGTATAAGTCCCTGTTAAGTCCAAAGGCCTGAGAATCAGGAGCACCAATGTCTGAGGGCAGGAGAAGATGGACATCCCAGCTCAGGGAGAGAGAGACAATGAGAAAATTTGCCCTTCCTCTGCCTTTTTGTTCTATTTGAGTCCTCAGTGGATTGGATAATGCCCACCAGTGATCTTCTTTCCTCAGTCCACTAATTCAGACGATAATCTCTTCCAGAGACACCCTCACAGATAGATACACTATGTAATGTTTTACCAGCTATCTGGGCATCCCTTAGCCCAGTCACGTTGACACATAAAATCAACCGTTGCAATATGACTACAGGCAGGGTGAAGGTTTACCAGCCAAAAGCAAGTGAGTGCTGTCTTGGCTAGGCACTCATTGTAAAATTCCAGGGAAGAGCTCTGATTGGCCCAGCTTAAACCAAGTGTCAAATATGGCAACTCCCATTCAGGAAAATTTCCCAGTGAAACAGAGAAGATGAGTTCTGCTCTGGTAGAAAAGACCCAGACATTCACTGGTTCAGACATTCACTGAATCAGATACACGGTTTGGGACCTGTAAAAATAAAGCTAATGAGTATATGTGCCCCTGATCCCTTACAGTGTGTCACTGAGATAATAAATGGGTGTAATTAGTGGAATCACTTTTTTTTTTCAACCATCAAGTCCTTTGTGTTCATATGTGGGCTGCTAAATTAGCCTGAGTAAAATGGAGTCCTAAAAATACTCTGTCCTGGGCACAATTGTGAAGCCTGGGAAATGTGTCTTTGGAGTCCTTCCCTTCCTCATTTCCATACAACCTTTCTTTTCTCATTCTCTCCATCCCTTCTACTTGCCCCATGTTGATGCCCTAGAACCCCACACAGTGGCTTCTTTGGGTTACCACTTTCTCAAGAAATTCCTCTCTGTGGGTTTTCTGGACCTTTCCCATTCACCTCACTCACCCCAAACCTGTTAGTCCAGTTCCTCTTTCCGATGTGATTTTAAGAAGTCCAAAGCCTTATGTATCATTCATTCCCACCCCCCCCCCCCCCCCGGTCTCTGGAAACTGGAAGGATTTATTTATTACTCCAATGTTGTAAATTTTCAATTATGTCTCGTGGCCTGAGTTTATTTTCATCCATTGGACTTTGTACTCAATAGGCTCTTTCAATATGCAAATACTTGTCCTTCAGTTTCTTTGAGTTTCTTTCTGAAACTTTTATTATTCCCATGTTGGCCTCCCTGGACTAGTCCTCTAATTTTCTTATCCTTTCTTTCCTATTTACATCTCTTTGTGTTCTTGCTCTTTTAGGGGGATGAAACTATATCAATTTTATCTTCTAACTCTTCTACTGAGTTTCTTTCTGCTATAATACTTTAAGAGTTCTTTTTGTTTTCTGAATATTCATTTTTATGCATCCTGTTCCTGTCTTCTGAATGCAAAATCTTCTTTTCTTCTCTTATATTTCAAAGATACAAGTGAGAGTGGGTATTTTTTTTATTTTTAAAGTTATCACCTCCTTGCAGGAGAAGTTACTTTCATCTGTCTCTTTATTTGGGTCACCATCGTCCATATTCCCTTGATTGTCTGGTGAACCTTGTATACCTTGCTCGTGGTGCCTAAACATGTGACTGGAAGTTCTGAGCCTGAGAGTGAGTCTTGTTCACCTTGGGCTTCGCTGTGGCATGGTACCCAGCAGTGCCCACAACCCCACTGCACAAGTCACAATCCGCATTGTCTTCCTCAAATGGTACCACGATCTAGCCGGGGAGGCCCACGTTTCAGCGTCTTTATGCTTTTCCTCTCAAACTGCTGCATTTTCAGGAAAAGCTCTTCCAGTCTACTGCCTGGAAAGTAAAGGCCTGGCTGAAATATTCTGGAAGCTGAATGGGAAAGTGAGCTGAGATTTTCGTGTTCAGCATGCATACGTTAAACGAATTACCCCAGCATCCACTATGGTGTCCCCTCTTCCAACTGCCTGGTTTCTTGCAGCCCAGAGACCCTGTGTTTTGCCTTTTCTGGGGAATAAACTCCTAGTCTTCTGCCAAGATGGGGGAAGCACCTGGCTGGTGCTTAAAAAGGACTTCAAACCTGTTTTAGGTCCACATTTCTCCCTACATTGAGAACTAATTCCCAAGACTGTGCGTTTTTCAGAATATTGCCTTTTACCTCTTGCTAGCAGAGGATTCTGCTTCTCCAGGGCTGTGGAATCAGTTACCACTCTCCATCTGCTTTTCAGCTTCCAAAATTTTGTTGCAATTATCCTGCCTCATTCTCTTTATCCTTGTGATTTATGCTTCTAAAATATATTTCAGTGTCAATTTAATGGAGTTTTAAGAGGGGGCAAATGTACAACCTGACATTTTTATCCAGAAATCAATGTTTTCCTTATTGTATAAGGAAATCAAGGTCTATAAAGAATATTAAAACTTTGTCTTTATTAATTGCTATAAACATTTTTAATGTGTCTTTAATTTTGAGTAAGGTATTTTTATCATACCAAAGGTTTTATATCTCTATGGTAAAATTGATCACTTTTGGCCTTTCAAACTTAGTCTGTTTTTAGGCTTAGAAATTCTTTCTATATCTAATAGATAACATAAATATTACCTTATTAAAAAGTACTATGTTACTTAGATCTTTTAATTTAACCCTTGAGTTCACCTGGAATTTATTTAGGTGTATGTTGTGAAGAGAGGTTTTAAATTTATTTATATTTCTCTCCAAAAGACAATTTCCTCAACATCATCTCTTGAATAAATACTCATTTCTCATTGAGAATCATGCCCCTCCCCACTGCCTACCCCAGTCCATGGAAAATTTGTCTTCCATGAAACTGGTCCCTGGTGCCAAAAAAGTTGGGGACTGCTATTGTAGAAAATTCTTTCCCTAAGTCTTCACAGCAGGGAAAGCTGTGGGAAACACTTCTTGTCGTGGGAGTTCGTACAGACCTGAGGTTGGCTGACCTCTTGTTCCGGCTGCTGTTTCTCAGTCTACACTAAAAAGTCCTTGAGTTAGTTTGTAGTTCTTCTTTGGACAGTGTGGTTTTGTAAAGACCACTCACTTCCTTCGCTGTGAACAGTTTCAAGCACTTGGCACTTTATGCTCTCCACCCATTTATACTTCTCGTAACGTGACTAAAAATTTCACAATTCAGGGATTCCCTGTAGGTTCCCCTTTCCTTCTTGTCTTATGAGCCGAGACTGTTGTCTGGCAAAGAATGTTGACGGCTGTGGATCCTGGGCGGCCTGCGTCAGCACCCTCTGAGTGCTTGTTACCATGTTCTGTTCCGGGCCCTAGACCTACTGCAACAGCAGAACCTCTCAGCGGTCTGGAAATGTTAACCACTTCGGTACCAGCATCAGCTATAGTCGACAGCCACAGATGAACGTGCACAGTCGAGTGTCGACTTTAGCCGACAGCCGTGATACGGCTTTTCTAATTTTTCACTTATCAAAATAAAATTGTGAACATCTAAAAATAACATAATGAAAACATATAT